ATATTTTAGTCTCTACTAAAAATATAAAAAATTAGCTGGGCGTGGTGGTACATGCCTGTAATCCCAGCTATTTAGGAGGCTGAGGCTGGAGAATCCCTTGAACCCGGGACAAGGAGATTGCAGTGAGCCAAGATCGTGCCACTGCACTCCAGCCTGGGCAACAGAGCAAGACTCCCTCTCAAAAAAACTAAAAAAAAAAAAAGGGATTACCAAGAAGTGAAGTCATATATAAGCAATACATCCTTAGGCTTATTTGGATTTGTTTGAGGGAGATCCCCAAGGGTTTGTGCAAAAAATTCTCAAGTTTAAATTCTTTCTGTTAGACAAAAGTGGTATAGATCTGATTCTAAGATGTCTGTGACCCAGCCTAGGCAGCGTGGTTATTCTGGAATTTTTAGAAAATTATCTCGAAATTCTGTGACACTGAGTCATTGAAAGTAAAACAAAACAAGCCAACTCTCTGTACATCTTTCTTCCCTGTAGTAATGTTGCTGTTAAGATGCAGTGTCTTTTATCCTCGGAATGGGAAACTTAATGTAATTGAAAGAATAGCTTCCGGCCTGGTTTAGAATGGAAATACTATCTCTTTGAGGTAATGGTTGTTATTTTTAGACTGACTTACAAAAAGAGATGAGGAGTCATGATGCTTATTAGCTCCAGTTAGTCCTAGACATTAGGAGGTAGTCTGCAAAATATCGTTAACAGTTACTCCAAATACGTTCTTGAAAATACAAGATATTTTAAAGGTATTTTTGTCATAATGAGTAATTGATTCAACACTAGCGTTAGAGAAAGACTCTTAAGTTCCATTGCCAAATAAACAGTTTACTAAACAGAAATAGATTTTTCATGGTGAAACTTGGTTAGAACAATGGTGCATTCCTAGGCCAGAGTTTCAAAAGTGGCTATTAGTTCAAAGCAGCTGGATTGAGGGATGGAGAAAAAGACAGTCCCGTCTTTCTGCTGCGGCTTTACAGAATTTGGTATATCACAATATCTCGCTGTTTTTTGAAGGTTTCCCGATAGTTTTAGTGAGCGAGAGTGAGTGAGAGGCGTAGAAACAGGCCTTTGCAGTCGTTTGTCCAGTCTTTTGCATGGAAGAAAAACTCCCAGAGAGACAACGCTCCTTTAACATAAAAGGCAGACCTGTTCTCTCTAAAATATACTTCTCTGATTTATTTTCTGCTACACATCCCACTTTCTAGGCTGGACTATAGACATGTCAGTCCTTACTCAGCGCCTTCCCCCATTCACGTCTAGGGCCCTTGTTATGTTTTCCGGATTCCTGCTTAGAAACAAGGCACAGGGCATCATGAATCTGTTAGGAGGTAATAAGCTTACAGAAGGAATCATGCAGCTAAAGCCAAAGCATGATTAGGAGTTCTGTGGAGCTACAGGAAGAAGATCACAGTCACTTCCGATCAAATGGTGCTGGGGTACCGGTGGCACCAGCTTTTCATAGGTAAAAAATTCTACTTGGGTAAAATATTCTAAAATATTGGTGTGAGTGAATTTATTGTCAGGAAGCTTTTATCTGCTCATGTGGGATGTGTGTATATGTGTGTGCACGTAAATACATACGTGTTCTATATAATGATGGCACTCTGATGTGATACCTGTTTCAGAACAGTTATTTTAAAAACTCACTTAGATAGAATCTCCAAAATAAATGAGGAAACTATCTCCTGACCTCTCACGGTTCTTTTTTTTTTTTTTTTTTTGAGACAGAGTTTCACTCTTGTTGCCCAGGCTGGAGGGCAGTGGTGCAATCTTGGTCCACCTCTGCCTCCTGGGTTCAATTCAAGCGATTCTCCTGCCTCAGCTTCCCAAGTAGCTGGGATGAAAGGCATGCGCCACCACACCCAGCTAATATTGTATTTTTAGTAGAGACGGGGTTTCTCCATGTTGGTCAGTCTGGTCTCGAACTCCTGACCTCAGGTGATTCGCCTGCCTCAGCCTCCCAAAGTGCTGAGATTACAGGCATGAACCACCGCGCCCAGCCCTCTTACTGTTCTTTACAGAAGAGATGAAGAAATCCCCAACTGGATTTTTGTGAGACTTTCTGAGGAAAGCTTGTGAATAAAATAGAGACTATTTTAGAAATTTGAGGTTACATGGAAATTTTTTTTTAACCTTCATAACGAAATGATACACGATGAAATGTCAGCAGCTGAAGAGTTAATAGGGTATTTGTGATGGACGGGTTCGGGGAACAGATGGAATGCATGTAGGTGGGAAAGCTATTATTTAATCAGAGGAGGGCTACTGTGTATTGGAAGGGGGTGGATTTTTGGGGGTAGCCGAGTACTCACCATTTTGAGGCTAGACTAATATATTTACTAGTGGACACAGGAAGAAGCAGACGCCAAGGCATATGGTCAGGAAGGGAGTTAACAGGCCACCAACAAAGAGGAAGAATGTGGCAGCTGAAATGCACCCAGGGTAGGTGACAAGAGGGTACAATGGCACCGAGAGATCAAAAGGCCTTAAGAAACTCAAAAAACCTCGGTCATAAGGAAGTGCGTTTGGAAACACTCATATTGTTACCTTCATTTGGGAAGTGTTCATGTGTGAATAGGGAAGAAAAGAAAGGAAGCGACTGTGAATTACCTTAGGCTTTCACCAGATGCGTATGAGTCAAATGTGTGAAGTGAAATTCAGGTTAAGCCTTCAAGGCACATAGGCAGGAGACCAATAAAGAACACAGACACGAAAAAGAAGTCGATACTAGATGTTCCCGTCAAGCAGAAAGTGGAACAGCGACTTGAGCATTCCCCTTTGGGTTGACGTTTGAATGTTTCTCTGTGTTTCTCTGCTTCCTTTCTTTCTCTCTTTTTCTTCTTCCTCCCTTTCTCTCTCTCCTTCCTTCCTTCCCTTCTCTTTCTTTCTTTCTCTCTTTCTTCTTTCTTTCTCTCTTTCTCTCTCTCTTTCTTTCTTTTCTTTTCTTTCTTTCTTTCTTTTTGCCCTTCCTTCCTTCCTTCCCTCCCTCCCTCCTTCCTTCCCTCCCTCCCTCCTTCCTTCCTTCCTTCCTTCTTGTCTTTCCTTTTGTCTTTTTCTTATCTTTTGATTTTCTTTCTTTCATGATTACATCTTAATTTTCTCATTTTTTTTTTTGTTTGTTTCTTTGTGTGGTGTTTTGTTTTGTTTCATTTTGGTTTTTGAAACAGAGTCTTGCTCTGTTGCCCAGGCTGGAGGGTAGTGGTAGTGGTCTCAGCTCACTGTAGCCTCAGCCTCCCAGGCTCAAGCAGTCCTCCTGTTTCAGCCTCCTAAGTAGCCGGGACTACAGGTGCACATCACCATGCCCGGCTAATTTTTGTAATTTTTGTAGAGAGAGGAGTCTCACCATGTTGCCCAGGCTGGTCTCAATTTCCTGGGCTCAAGCAAATCTGCCCACCCACGCCTCCCATAGCGCTGGGATTACAGGCATGATCTACCACACTCAGCCAGGTCTTAATTTTCTATAACATTGGTTCAGTAAAAGAAAACAAAAACAAGCAAACAAATAATTGCCCTGGTTATGCTGGAAGACAGCCCATTTCCTGTTGTGTTTTTGGCTCAATGCGGTGAGTTTGCCAGGTCACTGAAAGACCAAAAACCGTATCTTCATCTGTTTTTTGCCTTGTGTGGACCTCAAATTGTGTAAGAGATTCACGGGATTGTATTTATGAAGATAGTGCCACAGTGCCATATGAATCTAAGGTGTGTTAACGGCGTAAGCTCTGGTACTTCCGGATGACTTTGGAGTTTGTAGACATTCCTGTTTGAGCTTTAAAGTCAATTCTGCAACTAGTCAACAGTTGTTGTCCTTTTTTAGGTATGGGATTAATCACAATATGAATTAGAAGAGAAAAACAAAGTAGTAAAACATAAAATAGGACCCCTCAAAAAACATAAAAAAGCATAAAGAAGGAGCCATACCTACTGCCTCTTTAACGTATAGACTAAAAATGAGCATGGTACAGAGCTTCAGAAAGGTCTACTTCGGTCAGTGGTTTATGTGCCATTTTCCTGAATCCCATTGAGAACTGGGTTTAAAAATTTATGGATTTCCCAGCCGGGCCCCATGGTTCACAGTGATAATCCCAGCATTTGGGAGGCTGACACGGGTGGATTGCCTGAGTCAAGGAGTTCAAGACCAGCCTGGGCAATGTGGTGAGACCTCATCTCTGCAAAAATTAGTCGAGCATGGTGGCACATGCCTGTAGTCCCGGGTACTCAGGAGACTGAGGTAAAAGGATCGCTTGAACCCAGAGGTTGAGGCTGCAGTGAGCCGGGATCGTGCCACTGTACTCCAGCCTGGGTGACAGAGCAAGACCCTGTCTCGAAAAAAAAAAAAAATTTATGGATTTCTCATTCCCTCAAAACAAACAAACAAACAAAAAGTGGCCAGGCACGGTGGCTCATGCCTGCAATCCCAGCACCTTTGGAAGGCCGAGGCGGGCGGATCATGAGGTCAAGAGATCGAGACCATCCTGAGCAACATGGTGAAACCCCATCTCTACTAAAAAACACAAAAATTAGCTGGGCGTGGTGGCGTGTGCCTGTAGTCCCAGCTACTCGGTAGGCTGAGAATTGCTTGAACCCAGGAGGCAGAGATTGCAGTGAGCCGAGATTGCGCCACTGCACTCCAGCCTGGCGCCTGGCGACAAAATGAGACTCTGTCTCAAAAAAAAAAAAATATGTATATGAGCAAAGGTTCCCACAAGGGTCCTCCAGGTAACATAAATATAGGAATTGGCCCAAGTGGAGACCATATAGAATGTCGTGTCAAACTAGAAGGTGCGCACCACGTGAAGACAATAGGGAATGGTGGAGTTCTGTACAAACTAGGATGCACGTTGCTTACCTAAAGTAAATTCAATTTCAGAACATTAAAAAATAGCACCTACTAAATACATTTGAGGTAAATCTGGCCCCTGGGCATCCCAGTGTGCAGTTCTAGGCTTTTATTGATTGCGGCCAGGCTTTTATTTATGATGTATTCATGTTTTTGCCCTAAGGCCCGACAACAAGCTCAAATACGTCACCAAATGGCAGAGGACAGCAAAGCAGATTACTCATCCATTCTCCAGAAATTCAATCATGAGCAGCATGAATATTACCATACTCACATCCCCAACATCTTCCAGGTAAGTCCTGAACACCTCTCAGATTTTGTGTTTTATGCTTTGATTTCCTTAGAAAGACGATGCTCTGAATCATGGTTGCTGGGTTTGTATTCTGAGTCTTTATATAATTCCAAATTTCCACTAAGTCTTTTTCTTTTCTCTTTTTTGTGAGACAGAGTCTTGCTCTTGCTGTCACCCAGGCTGGAGTGCAGCTGGAGTGCAATGGCATGATCTTGGCTCACTGCAACCTCTGCCTCCTGGGTTCAAGTGACTCCTTTGCCTCAATCTCCCAAGTAGCTGGGACTACAGGTGCACACCACCACACCTGGCTAATTTTTATATTTTTAGAAGAGATGGGGTTTTGCCATGTTTAGCCAAGCTGGTCTCGAAGTCCTGACCTGAGATGATCCACCTGGCTTGGCCTCCCAAAATGCTGGGATTACAGACCTGAGCCACCAAACCTGGCCTTTTTTTTTTTTTTTTTTTGAGACAGTCTCACTCTGTTGCCCAGGCTGGAATACAGTACACAATCATGACCCACTGCAGCTTTGAACTCCTGGGATCAAGGGATCCTCCAACTTCACCCTCCTAAGTAGCTGGGACTACAGACATGCACCACTAGGCCCTGCTAATTTTTAAAATTTTTGTAGAGATAGGTTCTTGCTGTTGCCCAGGATGGCCTCAAATTCCTGGACTCAAGCAATTCTCTGGCCTCAGCCTTCCAAAGTGCTAGGATTACAGGCATGATAAATCATTTTTTAAAGCATCTAGATCAAACCTTGACTAGCAATATGAATGAAATATAATAATCTCAAGATTAATCAATAAACTTTGCAAACTTCCATGGTTTGCACCTGCAGCCAATTATTTGTCAGTCTTAAACTATGATTCTCTGATTAATGCTGTCTTTGCTACAGGATGATTGTGGTTATAAAAATGCCAGTTTAGGCTTGGCATGGTGGCTCACGCCTGTACTCCCAGCTCTTTGGGAGGTTAAGGTAGGCGGGTCACGAGGTCAGGAGTTCCATCCCAGCCTGACCAACATGATGAAACCCTGCCTCTACTAAAAATACATAAATTAGCTGGGCGTGGTGGCACGTACCTGTAATCCCAGCTACTCAGGAAGCTAAGGCAGGAGAATCACTTGAACCCAGGAGGCAGAGGTTGTAGTGAGCCAAGATTGAGCCACTGTACTCCAGCCTGGGCAATAGAACAAGACAGTGTATCCAAAAAAAAAAAAAAAAAAAAAAAAAAAGCCAGCTTAACTGGAGAAGTCAAAGCAGCATTCATAGAGTTGTTGGATTTGAACAAAAGACAGCTCTTTCTTTTGGATTTTTTTCTTTTGCCCATATTAGGTTGTCAAAAATGGTACGAGAAAAGATAGGCATACCTTCTTCCATTTTACAGATCTTTTGCAACTTTGAGTCCAACTGTAGAAAAGAATAATAAATATTTGCTTCTTAGTGTCTATACGCACAGCAAACAAGCACTTCCAAAATGACAGTTGGAAGGCACACCCACTTGTGCTGGATTGAGACGGTTAACTACATACTGTGCTTTTGGTAAAAGGTAAAGTTAGTAGATTAAAGATGGAGAAAATGTTTGAAGTGGACTTCAAATGGTGTTAATAATAAAGCTATTGGCCAGGATGGGTGGCTCATGCCTGTAATCCCAGCACTTTGGAGGCCTAGGTGGGTGGATCACCTGAGGTAAGGAGTTCGAGACCAGCCTGGCCAAGATGGTGAAACCCCATTAAAAATGCAAAAAATTAGCCAGGTGTGGTGGCAGGTGCCTGTAATCCCAGCTTCTTGGAAGGCTGAGGCAGGAGAATCGCTGGTACCTGGGAGGCGGTGGTGGCAGTGAGCTGAGATCACACCATTGCACCCCAACCTGGGCAAAAGAGCAAAACTCTATCTCAAACAAACAACTATTTGAGTTTGGCATTCTTATTAACATTAGAATGGAATTGTACAAAGCGTATATTTAGGCAGCCTAACAGTTTATAAAGTCAGTGTACAACTGGCTCATATGGAGGCACTGTATACTTATGGCCACGCTAACTCTAACCCGTTTTTCCTCATAGAGAACTCGTTAGAGGTAACAATGCTACCAAAAAACAACTTCATTTAATAATCATGGACCAGGCTGACTTTATACAAAATCTCATTTTGCAGAAAATACAAGAGATGGAGGAAAGGAGGATTGTGAGGATTGGAGACTCCATGAAGACGTACGCAGAGGTTGATCGGCAGGTGATACCCATCATTGGGAAGTGCTTGGATGGAATAGTAAAAGCAGCCGAGTCCATCGATCAGAAAAATGTAAGTATTGCCATTTGAGCCTCACTGATAACTATTTGCAGTTCCATTTTTTCTCCCTGTCCCCTTTCTGTATGACCTCGTTGAATCATCTCACGGTGGGTAGTTGCTTTCAGTGGTCATACATGCCCTGTGTCTTGGATTTAACTTTATAATTCCTTTTTTGGAAAACACGTTTAAGTGGTAAATTGTCCAAGAGATGACAGAATTGAGTTTCTGTTTTCTGGAAAAGTGTTTGCTGGAAAAAGGGAAAGACTTTGTTTCCTGTAAGTCAGATTCTTCTTCTTCTTCTTCTCCTTCTCTTCTCCTTCTCCTTCTCCTTCTCCTCCTCCTCCTCCTCCTCCTCTTTCTTCTTTCTTCTTTCTTCTTTCTTTTCTTCTTTCTTCTTCCTCTTCTTCTTCTTCTTCTTCTTCTTCTTCTTCTTCTTCTTCTTCTTCTTTCTTCTTCTTCTTTTTTTTTTTCTTTTTTCTTTTTTCTTTTGAAACGGAGTCTTGTTCTTGTTGCCCAGGCTGGAGCACAGTGACGCGATGTCAGCTCACTGCAACCTCTGCCTCCCGGGTTCAAGTGATTCTCCTGCTTCAGCCTCTCGAGTAGCTGGGACTACAGGAACGTGCCACCACGCCCAGCTAATTTCTGTATTTTTAGTAGAGACGGGGTTTCACCATGTTGGCCAGGCTGGTCTCCAACTCCTGACCTCAGTTGATCTGCCTGCCTCAGGATCCCAATGTGTTGGGAATATAGGCCTGAACCACTGTGCCCAGCCAAAACAGGGCCTCTTCAGGTACTTTTGACATTATCTTAGACTAGATCATTTTTCTTCTTGTGGGCATTACAGGATGTTTAGCAGCATCTCTGGCCTCTACCCAGGAGATGCCAGTAGCACTTCCCAAGTTCTGACAGTCAAAAATGTCTCCATATATTGCAGCATGTCCCCTGAGAGGGCAAAACCTTCTTTGGTTGAGAATACTGCTTGGGGACCAATGAATTCCTAGAGACCTATTTCTCTCAAAAAATATAAACTATAACACCAGCATAGGCTTTTACTTTTAATTTGAAAAACCAAATATTTAACATAAAAGTTATGCAGCTGACCCAGTGTGGTGGCTCATACTTGTAATCTCAGCACTTTGAGAGGCCAAGGTGGGTGGATCGCTTGATGCCGGAAGTTCTAGACCAGCCTGGCCAACATGGCGAAACCCCATCTCTACTAAAAATACAAAAATTAGCTGGACATGGTGGTACATGCCTGTAGTCCCAGCTACTCGGGAGGCTGAGGCACGAGAATTGCTGGAACTCAGGAGGCAGGGGTTGCAGCAAGCCAAGATCATGCCACTGTACTCCAGCCTGGGTGACAGAGCGAGACTCTGTCTCCCAAAAAAAAAAAAAAAAAAAAAATCAGAAAACGACAGTTCTGTGTTCTAAAAGCTCAAATGGACATTATTGATAGCTTCTGAAGAGAATGAAGAAAGCTGACCAGGTGTGGTGGCTCACGCCTGTAATCCCAGCACTTTGGGAAATCTAGGTGGGTGGATCACCTGAGATAGAAAGTTCAAGACCAGCCTGGCTAACATGGTGAAACACCATCTCTACTAAAAACACAAAAATTAGACTGGGCATAGTGGCTCACACCTGTAATCCCAGCACTTTGGGAGGCCAAGGTGGGTGGATCACAAGGTCAGGAGTTTAAGACCAGCCTGACCAATATGATAAAACCCCATCTCTACTAAAAATACAAAAATTAGCTGGGCATGGTGGTGCACACCTATAGTCCTAGCTACTTGGGAGGCTGAGGCAGGAGAATCACTTGAGCCCAGGAGGCAGAGGTTGCAGTGAGCCAAGATCACGCCATTGCACTCCAGCCTGGGCGACAGAGTAAGACTCTGTCTCAAAAAAACAAAACAAAACAAAACAAAAACAAAAATTAGGCGTGATAGTGTGCATCTGTAGTCCCAGCTACTCAGGAGGCTGAGGCAGGAGAATCGCTTGAACCCGGGAAGTGTAGCTTGCAGTCAGCTAAGATGGCACCACTGCACTCCAGCCTGGGCAACAGAGCGAGACTCCATCTGAAAAAAAGCAAAAAAGGTTACTAGGAAAAAAGTTATTATCAATCAATGTTATTTCCTTAGGTTTCATCTGTATGAGGTCATCATAATTCATTGTTTAAAAAGTATTTGCGTGCTTCTGAATGTATTTATATGCTTGCGGGTATAATTTCAGGATTCACAGCTGGTAATAGAAGCTTATAAATCAGGATTTGAGCCTCCTGGAGACATTGAGTTTGAGGATTACACTCAGCCAATGAAGCGTACCGTGTCCGATAACAGCCTTTCAAATTCCAGAGGAGAAGGCAAACCAGACCTCAAATTTGGTGGCAAATCCAAAGGAAAGTTGTGGCCGTTCATCAAAAAGAATAAGGTACTGATGGTTGGATGCGGTGTGAAATGAGTTTTATAAGGCGTGGAGATTTTGACTTGACCTTTGAGTCTCGAAAACTAAGATCTTAGACCTGTAGTTTCAGAATGCAAAAGAAAAAAGCTAGTGTGCTGCTTGTATCTGGAGGCAGCATTTCTTTTTGGTGGTGGTATTTTTGCCATGGCCCTGTGTCTTACTTCAGAAGCATTCTCCTCCTCCCGTGACACCCACACTAACAGATTACTGACCTCTCCACCATTTCCCATCATACCTTTCACTCCTTCGTCTCCTGGACTGCTGGTGACCTTGGCTGGGAGAGGATGTGGTGCGAAATTCCCGTAACACTTTATCGGCACATCTAATTGAAACTGTTACCATGTTAATAACTTGGTTTCGAATTCATGTTAACATGCGTGTCCATGAACATTTTTCATTTTCTTTGCATAGTGTGAGACATAGGTGCATGACAGCATTAACCTGGGGTTGTAGAATGTGATCAAGGCAGCATTACTGCTTTAACTTTAGAATGACTTAATATTTATTAATTTAAACAGACTGTCTACTGTTTTCACAACCTTAGCATTGAAGGTCTGCCATTTTTTCCCATCAGGCTATGTTAGCTTAGGTGATATGGAAATATTTACCTTCTGGCTTAAGCTGGTTTGGAATAGCTAACTAGAGCTGTAGTTTGCATGGGAAAGTCTGCACGAGCTCCTTGTCAGATATTTCTTGCTCCTCTTCTGTCGCGTTACTTACTAAACCTCCCAACTCTCATCATCTTCATTTAACCACCTCCTACATGTTTTCTTTTGGACCATGGCCTAAAATTTAATTGTTTGTGTTTTACTTGCGTTGGATTTCAAATATGATTTGATGCTTATTTTTGTTTTGTGTCTTATCTTCTTGTTTCTGATTTTTACTCTGTCACGGCTCCATCTCTTACATGTAGCTTATGTCCCTTTTAACATCCCCCCATCAGCCTCCCCCTCCCCCTCCTGCCTCTGCCTCACCCTCTGCTGTTCCCAACGGCCCCCAGTCTCCCAAGCAGCAAAAGGAACCCCTCTCCCACCGCTTCAACGAGTTCATGACCTCCAAACCCAAAATCCACTGCTTCAGGAGCCTAAAGCGTGGGGTAAGTTCTGCTCCGGAATCCTGTCTCTCTGGCGTGCTTTTGTTGCATGTTCGGTTCTGCATAACTAATTTTGTTTGTGAATGAATTCATTGTGTTTTCCCATAACGTATAAAAAAGTTAAAAAACCATTATAGCTGGAGAGAAAAAGCCAGAAAGAGGAGGGAAGAAAGAAGGAAGCAGGGTGCATAGAAGAAAGGAGAACGGCTGGGCGCGGTGGCTCAAGCCTGTAATCCCAGCACTTTGGGAGGCAGAGGCGGGTGGATCACGAGGTCAAGAGATCGAGACCATCCTGGTCAACATGGTGAAACCCTGTCTCTACTAAAAATACAAAAAATTAGCTGGGCATGGTGGCGTGTGCCTGTAATCCCAGCTACTCAGGAGGCTGAGGCAGGAGAATTGCCTGAACCCAGGAGGCGGAGGTTGCGGTGGGCCGGGATCGCGCCATTGCACCCCAGCCCGGGGAAAAAAAGGGAAAACCCCTTCCCAAAAAAAAAAAAAAAAAAAAAAAAGAAGAAAGGAGAAAGCCAGGTGTCCCAGAACTCTTCCTGTTTGTTTCTGTTACATTTGGAAGGACTTGACCCCTCTTCCTCTTTAAAGCATCCAAGTCATTAATCTTTTACCTTAATTTTAACCAAAAAAGGAAACGTAAGATTTCATTTCTAAATCAAGCGACCTGAGCCTGGGCATGACGGCTCATACCTGTAATCCTAGCAGTTTGAGATGCCAAGACAGGAGGATCACTTGAGCTCAGGAGTTCAAGGCCAGCTTGGACAACATAGTGAAACCCCGTCTCTTAAAATATGTATGTGAAAATAAATAGGACAAGCACAGTGTCTCATGCCTGTAATCCTGGCCCTTTGGGAGGCTGAGGTGGGAGGATCACTTGAGCTCAGGAGTTCAAGACCAGCCGGGACAACATAGTCAGATCCCATCTCTAAATAAATAAATAAATGAATAAACAAACAAACCAGCAACCTATGAGATAAGGAATTGGAAGTGACTGTGTAAGTCAAAAAATACTGCCTTAATAATTACTGAAGCCATGTGAGTGTAATGAAGATACTTACCTGAGCTATGCCTCAGGGTTCAAAGGAGAAGAGTCATAAGTCACAGCGGTTTCATTCGCAATTTTATTGAGATTATAAGGAGTTCATAAAATATCCATTGATTGGAAGAGCCCTAATGCAGGATTTCTCTTTAAAGGATGAAGTCATAAAAGCAGTTGACACTTACTGAGCGCTTATTGTGTGCAAAGCTCTGTTCTGTGTGCCCATTTACATTTTTCCAACCACACTGTGAAGCCTAGATAGTACTCACATTTCCTTATTTTACCGCTAAGGAAATTGAGGCATACAAAGGTGAAGTGAGGAAGATGCAGAGCTGGGATTAGATCCGGGGAGTCTGTAAACAGAGTCTGCGATTCCGTGACGTCCAGCTTCAGGGAGCAACTACTATGTTGACTCATAAGTGGATGTTATTAAGATTCAAGTTCGCCATCCTAATTAAGATTGATGTGCTTAAGTCACAGAGTTAATGGAATTGAGATAGCCATCTAATGTACATACCGGCTTGGTTTATAGAGAAAGATTGGCGTAAAGTAATATGTTGATTCCCACATCATTCTAAATGGTTAGTCTAGTCTAAGCCTTCCCAAAATATCTTTTATGATGAGTATAATGAGTAAACAGATATTTAGACCAGGCACAATGGCCCATGCCTGTAATCCCTGCAGCATTCACATATCTTTTTTACCTTAAAAAAAAAAAAAATCCCATCCTGTGGGAGCTGCGATACAGCTGTAGCAGAATGCTTTCTGGTGCAAACATAAGTTTTACTTTTCCCTTCTCCTGGGCTCTCCAGTCAACTGACAATTGGGTTACTTCTTTCCAAATAATGCCTGGTAGTGCCCCAAAGCCAGAGTTGGATGCCAGCCTTTCTTGAGTGTCAGCTGACACATTGGCATGGGAAAAGATTGTAAACTACAACTAATTAACTGGAGGGGAGAGATGTCCTTCTTGGACTTGGAATCAATAGCTGGTTACCAGTAAAAGAATAACAGTAGTCATTGTTAACCCGACAATCATATTTCTACAAAAACTACTCTGTGTAAAAAAGAGGCCTGGAGCAGTGGCTCATGCCTGTAGTCCCAGCACTTTGGGAGGCCAGGGTGGGTGGATTGCTTGAGCTCAGGAGTTCGAGACCAGCCTGAGCAACATGGCTCGACCCTGTCCCCCCATTAAAAATACAAAAAAATAGCCAGGCGTGGTGGTATGTGCCTATAGTCCTAGCTACTTGGGAGGCTGAGATGGGAGGATTGCTGGAACCCAGGAGGAAGAGGTTGCAGTAAGCCGAGATCACACCACTGCACTCCAGCCTGGGCAACAGAGTGAGACCCTTTCTCAAAAAACAAAAAATGTAAATATATAATCGATAACAAGGTTATTAGTTGTTTTAAATGGAGGAAGAAATATTTCCTTATATGCAGAGTTGCTTTAATATGAGAATCTCAGATTTATAGTTGGTAGAATTATCTTGCTTTAATGCTATCTAGCATATCAGGTTAAGAATTAGAAATGTAATTTCTGAAAGATACGAAGAAAGACATTGATGGAAGGCAGAGTACAGCTTCAAAGGTGATGATGGGGCTGGGCGCAGTGGCTCACACCTGTAATCCCAGAACTTTGGGAGGCCAAGGCAGGAGGATCATGAGGTCAGGAGGTCGAGACCAGTCTGGCCAACGTGGTGATATCTTGTCTCTACCGAAAATATAAAAATAAGCCAGGCATGGTGGCAGGCACCTGTAATCCCAGCTATTTGAGAGGCTAAGGCGGGCGAATTGCTGGAAACCAGAAGGCAGAGGTCGCAGTGAGCTGAGATCGCACCACTGCACTCCAGTCTGGGCGACAGAGTGAGAGCTCATCTCAAAAAAAAAAGTAGGATTAAGCTGAGCTGTATAATTAGGACTTGAAGAATCTGCAGCTTCTTGGCTCAATGATGCTGGCGTTTAGAACACTCATTATTAATCCAAGAATTTCCATGACGAGGTGTTTTTGCTAGACTGAAAGTTTTGTATGAACTGTCAGTTAACCCATCTCTGCCGTTTTACCAAGCATTCATGTGTTATATTTATATATTATCTCTGTATTTTTTGAACTCTCATGATGAATATTCATGGTTGTTTGCCATTTGTTTATGTGTCAATTCTAGTTTTCACTTAACATTACACAGTCTGAAATGTGCAATTGGCCGAAAATGGTTTGTGAATCTGTGGTTCATGGCATTTGCTAAATGTTTAGAAAAAAACCAAAGAATTCAGTCATCGATAAATATAAGAAAAGGATGGTTAGAAAAAAAAAATGTAACACTTGATGAAATGAGAAACTGGTTCTTTTGATGATTTAAAGGAAAATCTCTGTTTTACCATAATCAGCAATATGAATTGTATTTCTTACTCCTCAAATCTGTGCTCAGCAAATCTTTGTTAAAAAATACTTCCCGCTGGGCACAATGGTCATGTCTGTAATCCCAGCACATTGGGAGGCCGAGGCAGGCAGATCACCTGAGGTCAGGAGTTCGAGACCAGCCTGACCAACATGTAGAAACCCCGTCTCTACTAAAAATATAAAATTAGCCAGGCGTGGTGGTGCATGCCTATAACCCCAGCTACTGGGGAGGCTGAAGCAGGAGAATCGCTTGAACCTGGGAGGCGGAGGTTGCTGTGAGCCAAGATTGTACCATTGTACTCCAGCCTGGGCGACAAGAGCAAAACTCGGTCTCAAAAAAAAATTTTATTTTTTTCCCAAATGGTGAGTTTATTTTCCAGAGGTTAAATCTACTAGAAGCCATCGTAAAGAAGTAGAGAAATATTTTTGCTTCTTTCACTTTTGGTCAGTCTGTTCTTAGGGTCAGAATTAATGTTCCTTCCTCTAGGAAGCTGCAGTGCAAAAAAAGAGGAAGCACACGCTCAAAAAAAAAAATCCGAAGTTTGGAGAAGTAGATTTCATTTTTAAGCAATCTCAACATGGAACGTGCCTAGCGTGGTTGACAGGTTCTGTGACCAAAGTGATACAGCCCCTCCTACCTTCCCATTCATTCTGCTTTTTAAGTCAACACTATTACACCAACAATAATTTAATTAGAAAAAGTTACTGAGAGAATAAGAAATCTGTGATTTTATTATGTCTTTTAATTTCTCATGTTTTGCAGCTTTCAGATTCAGATGTCAATAATTTGTTTCTGTCATCGGAGTATATAAATCCCATGGAGACATATCTCAGCATAACTGATTTTGTTTCTAAATAATTAAACAGGATAAAATGTGATTTGTTGTAAGCTGTTGATATGTATAAGGAAATTTTGTTTCACCGAATATCTTTAAAGATGCCACCAGAGCATTAACCATTATTTCATTTTTACGTAAGTTGAAGAAAAATGAAACGAGATAGTATGTTCTCAGTTTGCCATCTACGAAGGGTAATTTTATTGCTTAAACTAAGATTTCATTTTCTGGCCTGTGCAAGAGACTTCTATATCTAAAATATAGACATACATTTTTCATATTTTAGAGTTAATTGTATGGAAAAATACCATCAATGTTGACCAAAAGATTTTGAAAATCCTTACCAATTGTTTGTCATATGCTAAAGTCTTATGGTTACTTTAATTTTATTTATTTTATCTTGTTCTCTTGCTGGTTATTGGCAGACTCAGTCTTTCTGTTTTCACAAAGAACTCATGAAGAGGACAATAGGGAAACCCACGTATGCCTTTGAGGCTAGGGACTATGTTGTAAGTTCACCTGTGACGGCCAGGTCATACAGTCACGGCACAGCCACTAACCCCATTCACAGCACCAAGACTGGGGACCCTGAGGCACTCTCTTATGCTTCCACACTATGAAATGAAATTCTTAATTGAGAGGGAAAAAAAAAAAGGCTAATTGTATAAATTCATCCATAGGCAACTTTATCTGAAAAAATTGCATGAATAAAGGAAGCAAACTTTCTAATAACAGTGGTGAGCTGAGCTTGGTTTTTTTTTGTTTGTTTGTTTCTCTTTTTTCTTTTTTTTTTTTTTTTTTGAGATGGAGTTTCGCTCTTGTTGCCCAGGCTGGAGTGCAATGGCGTGATCTCGGCTCACCGCAACCTCCGCCTCCTGGGTTCAAGCGATTCTCCTGCCTCAGCCTCCCGAAGAGCTGGGACTACAGGCATGCACCACCACACCCGGCTAATTTTTTTGCATTTTTAGTAGAGACGGGGTTTCACCATGTTGACCAGGATGGTCTCCATCTCTTGACCTCGTGATCCACCCACCTCGGCCTCCCAAAGTGCTGGGATTACAGGCGTGAGCCGCCGCGCCCGGCCTAATTTTTTATATTTTTATTAGAGATGGGGGTTTCTCCATGTTGGTCAGGCTGGTCTTGAACTCCTGACCTCAGGTGAACCGCCCGCCCCGGCCTCCCAAAGTGCTGGGGTTACAGGCGTGAGTCACCACACCCGGCCTGTTTTTCCCTTTTCATTCTAGTTCTGGGACTGTGACTGCCATCTGAGATGTCATTGGTATGACTTCACAGCAGAATTTCACGCATAAAACACAGCTGCAATGTGTGGTCACAGGAGAGTGATGCTCTTACAGACGGCAGTGTAGCTCAGTCCCACATCCGTGTTTGTAACAAACGGATCCCTAGGGAGTTATGCCCTAAAGCTTGGAGAACAAACAAACAGATCGATGACACGTGAGCGATTTCCTAGCACAGTAAAATGAGTATTCTTCTCTCTATGTATCTATACATTTATTTCACTGTCCCCTTTCTTTGTACTTGAGGTTAGTACTGTGACTGTCCAATAACACATGGACTTGCCAGCTCTGTGTTCCCCATGTGTTATTGACGCTTGTGGCTCCCACGGCTCTTTAACTGTCGCCTGAAACTGACAGCTTTTTAATTCTTCAGGTGTCTAGCAATGCACTTAATGGAATCCTCAAAATTATTATTTTAGCCAATGATGTTGCTTTCTAATTTTAAGAGAAATTCTAATTGGCTGGCTTACAGCTTAAGACTGAAAACCAATATATAATGATTAAAAAGAAATTCCGTGTACTGTGATGGCACTTCTTATATTAATAGATTATCCGTCACAAATAAAATCAAATTTGTCTGAGAATCTGGTATTTCCTATTCGATGGGGATTTATGTTCAATCCTGATGACTTGTTTTTACTATGAAGTGTTATAATCTTCCTATACAGTGTTTTGAGGTGAGAACTCTGTTTGTGGAATGCTTAAGAAAGAATATATAACTTTGAGTAATGAAAGTAGCCAAGTAGAGAGCAAATAGTGTACCTAGTTGAAATGTTAGTTCTTTGAATTAGCAATGTTTAGACAATAATGTGTAAGAAAATATCTGTATGTGATAGTGTGCTTTGTAGGAAAGATACTTGGAGTCTTCTGCTCTGCACCGTAAGTCTTGTCTGTACGTATGAGGAATTCCAGTTGTGATAAGTAGATCTGTGCTCAAGTTCACAGGCAGGCTGAAATAGCTGTAGACAGCCCACGTCAGACAGTCAGGAATGTGACTGTATAATGTACCATTTGCCCCCGACAAAGGCTTGCCTTTCTGTTTCTTTCCTTTAAAATCTCATGTTCCTATACAGGGATAATTTCTTTAAAAGGTTATTTTTTCTTTACAAAGAAGTGTCAACTTTGAATCAATCTTAAATTAATAATTAGTTTTTTAGGCTGTGTGTGGTGGTTCACACCTGTCATCCCAGCGCTTTGGGAGGTTGGGGTGGGTGGGTCATTTGAGCTCAGGTGTTTGATATCAGCCTGGGCAACATGGTGAAACCCCCATCTCTACCAAAAAATACAAAACTTTGCCAAGTATGGTGGCACACACCTGTAGTCCCAGCTATACTCAGGAGGCTGAGATGTAAGGATCACTTGAGCCCTAGAGGTTGAGGCTTCAGTGAGCTGACATTGTGCCACCGTACAAGCTGCCCTGTCTCCAAATACAAAACCAAAAATCAGTAAATTGATAAGTAAGTAAATACTTTAAAAAGAGCAGTCACAGTGGATAATTCTCCAAATACCCGACCCCTATGGATGGGGCTCAGAGTTTCATAGAAATCCTCAGCAGACACTGTCCACTGAGCAAGGGCAGCACACGTGCTCCGGTGGGAGGGAACGTTGTCCTCTTGCGCGGCTGCGAGACACATTTCGGGTCCCGCAGGTAGTTTCTTGGAGCACCTGCTCGTCCGTCCTTTGTTACCAGTTCACCAATTTCAGACTTTGCCTTCATGTCAATTTATTTATTTATTTATTTTTGAGAGAGAGTTTTGCCCTTGTTGCCCGGGCTAGATTGCAATGGCATGATCTTGACTCACTGTAGCCTCTGCCTCCTAGATTTAAGCGATTCTCCTTCCTCAGCCTCCCAAGTAGCTGGGATTACAGGCGCCCGCCACCACGCCCGGCTAATTTTTTTTTTTTTTTTTTTTTTAATTTTTAGTCGAGACGGACGGGGCTCCACCACATTGGCCAGGCTGGTCTCGAACTCCTGGCTTCAAGTAATCCGCCCACCCTTGACCTCCCAAAGCGCTGGGATTACAGGGTTGAGCCACCGCACCTGGCCAATGTTTATATTTATTACAGTTCCTTAACATAAAAATATTACTTGCCTATCATGGAAGTAATTGGTGTTCAGACTTTTTTAAGTCTGTGTAAAACTTTCCATGGAAAATTTGGAGAACAAAAGGTTGTGTGATTATATTTTTTCTTTGATAGTCATTATGTGTCACCGACCACAAGCTTACTTTAGTTTACATCTAGACTGAGGGACCAACACGAACCTGTAACAGAAACCCTCCTTTTCTATCTGATCTTTGCTCTGCCAATGTGGAGCCTCAGAAAAGTTCATTAGGGAGCAGCCCTTCTTGTGAACTTTTGCACAGATCTGCTACAAGTCATTTTTATAAATCAGCGGGTGGACGTGTGTGGTATTTTAATATGGTGGAACTGACCAAGTTCCTCTTCTTCTGATGCGTTGTTGTTTTTTTTTCTCCTTCTCTCTCTCTTTCTCTCTCTCTCTTTCCCATACCTCTCCAATTTTTACATGAAGCTTTCTCTCAAGCTGGTAAGCACAATTATTCCATGCATGTCCTGAGTCTAATCAGGTTTTCGGCGTGTGTTTTGTGAATGCTATGCCATGCACAACATATCTTCAAAGTTAACTTGGTTTGTGTTTCTCTTATGTGTGCTTCTGTTGGTGTTTCCTTATTAGACTTCTTGGATACAAAGTTCCAGAATCTAATAGAGGTGATCTTAATCTTTTCAAGTTGCTAAGAAAATTAACACTTAACTCATGACTTGGTGTTCTTTATTATTGGGGCCTTAAGAGGACAAATGTGAATAAAGTGTCTATATGAATATGAACGTAAAGGCCAGGCGTGGTGGCTCATGCCCGTAATCCTAGCACTTTAGGAGGCCGAGGTGGGTGGATTGCCTGAGCTCAGGAGTTCGAGACCAGCCTGGGCAACATGGTGAAACCCCGTGTCTATGAAAGTACAAACAATTAGCCAGGCGTGGTGGCGTGTGCCTGTAATCCCAGCTATTCAGGAGGCTGAGGCAAGAGAATTGCTTGAACCTGGGAGGCAGAGGTTGCAGTGAGCCAAGATCGTGCCACTGCACTCCAGCCTGAGTGACAGAGTGAGACACTCCATCTCCAAAAAAAAACAACGTAAATATTAAATCTGGCGGTGTCTGTTGCATCATTTTGAATAAAAGTAAATTTAATAGTTGAAGAATGTTCTTATTTGAGAACCACAGAAGTAGATGAAAAATTCTGGGAGCCTGAAAGAGCCGTGTAGGAATGATCCCAGCCGGCAGCTCCTACCCAGGTTTGAGGCCACTCGTGGGAATGGAAAACTCTGGAATCTTTCTGGCGTGACGTAGATATGTTGGTGCCTTGTGCATAGCTGATTCAAGAGGCCACAGGAGAATTTCATGGATAGTGAAAAGAGCCTCCTAAGCCTTTTTAGGATTATTTACTCAGTGTTTTGTGTCGTTTGTACTTAACTGTATATGCCTAGTAAACAAACTAATCATTACATTTATTAAAAGTAACTTAACTAACATAACCTATAACTGTGCTTCAAATATCTATAATAGTTTCATAGTCTTCTCAAATTCCACAGCTAAGAATATCCTAAAATAACGGGACAGTGATCAACTGTGACAGTTCAACTGGGAGTAAGATCAGCAGTATAAGCACGCTATTGATAACCTAGGATAGTATTTTATGGTGATTTAAAAATATGTAATATTTACGTGTGTATGTATACATATGTATGTATATACATAATTTTTTCAGCATGACTTAGTATTTGGTGATGGACCCAAACCTAAAGAAAAATCGTATTTTATTAAGTTAAACATTTCTTAGACTGTGAAGTAAAATCCTGAGAAGTCTTTAAGGTCTCTACATGAGGGAAGGAGATCTAGATACCAAATGAATTACAGGTTCTTGAGCAGTATGAACTTGGGAGGAATTGGATCTATTCACTAGGAGGCCTTCTCAGCTGCCAGGGTTTCCTTCTTACCCTTTATTCATTGTTTTTCTGGGTGCTAGCAGCAAAAGGTAATATTTTTAGGCAGTCTTTCTGTTTGAAAAACAAATTATTTTACCAAGTTGGTATTGAACGGTTGTTTTCTACCATTACCTTGAAGCCAGCAAAGAATTGCGGTGCTGGCTGGGCACGGTGGCTCCTGCCTGTAATCCCAGTGCTTTGGAAGGCTGAGGCAGGAGGACGGCTTGAGCCCAGAGTTCAAGGATGCAGTGAGCTATGACTGCACCACTGCACTCCAGCCTGGGTGACACAGCGAGACTGTGTCTCAAACAAAAAAATGAAAAAAGGTGTGGGACCAGGTGCGTGGCTCACACCCGTAATCTCTGCACTTTGGGAGGCTGAGGCGGGCAGATCATATGAGCCCAGGAGTTCTAGACTAGCCTGGGCAACATGGTGAAACCTGACTCTACAGAAAAATACTAAAATTATCCGGGCACGGTAATATGTGCCTGTAGTCCCAGCTACGCAGGAGGCTGAGGCAGGAGGATTGATTGAGCCCAGGAGGTCAAGGCTGCTCCAGCCTTGGGTGATAGAATGAAACGCTGTCTCAAAAAAAACTGTAAAACAACACAAAACAAAAAATCTAAAAGAATAATATTACATGGGGCTTGGGCTGTTTGGGGGTTGGGGGGAAGCTGTTGACAAGCAAGGGTTTGATTTTTTTTTTTTTCCTTTTGGGTGACAGTCCCTCTTTGTCCCCCAGGCTGGAGTGCAATGATGCGATCTTGGCTTACTGTAATCTCCGCCTCCTGGGTTGAAGCGATTCTCCTGCCTCAGTCTCCTGAGTAGCTGAGATTACAGGCATGCGCCACCATGCCCGGCTAATTTTGTATATTTAGTATAGACGGGGTTTCACCATGTTGGTCAGGATGTCTTGAACTCCTGACCTCAGGTGATTCACCCGCCTCGGCCTCCCAAAGTGCTGGGATTACAGGCGTGAGCCACTGCGCCAATCTGGCCTCCAGACCTTCTGATGGACTGGCTTCAAATTGGGGTTCCCGCGACCCCCTCTTTGGGTTCAATTAATTTGCTGCAGCAGCTCACAAAACTCAGGGATACACAATTTCTGATTTATTACAAAGGATATTACAAAACATACAGATGAAGAGATGCTTAGGGTGAGATATGGGGGAGGGGGCACAGAGCTTCCATCCCCTCCCTGCGCAGACCCTCTCTAGGAACCTCCATGTGTTCAGCTATCCAGAAACTCCCCCAAACCCTGTCCTTTTGGGCCTTTTATGAGACTTCGTCAGATAAGCATGATTGACACATGGACAGCCATGCTGGAATGAGATTGGACAGAAAGGGCCTGATGGGCCAGGCGCGGTGGCTCAAGCCTGTAATCCCAGCACTTTGGGAGGCCGAGGCGGGTGGATCACAAGGTCAAGAGATCGAGACCATCCTGATCAACATGGTGAAACCCCGTCTCTACTAAAAATACAAAAAATTAGCTGGGCATGGTGGTGCATACCTGTGATCCCAGCTACTCAGGAGGCTGAGGCAGGAGAATTGCCTGAACCCAGGAGGCGAAGGTTGCGGTGAGCCGAGATCGCGCCATTGCACTCCAGCCTGGGTAACAAGAGTGAAACTCTGTCTCAAAAAAAAAAAAAAAAAAAAAAAAAAAAAAAAAAAAAAAGAAAGGGCCTGATGGAATCCTAGCCGACCGGGTGGGGACACCCAGCAGGGCCCGTCTGTCCAGATTCTTCTTGGCCTCCCTGTGCAACATTCCTTCCTTCAGGGTATGGGGCAGGATCCTCTTGAATGAGAGTCATATAGTCACAATCAGAATGCTACCTTTAGCGGGTAAGAGAAGGGCATGGGGAGATGAGAGAGATTCTGTTTTCTGAGGCCAAAAGTGCTCTGATGTTTTAACAAAAGACTGTAGCAAGAGGCCAGGCGCAGTGGCTCACACCTGTAATTCCAGCACTTTGGGAGGCCAAGGTGGTGGATCACCTGAGGTCAGGAGTTCAAGACCAGCCTGGCCAACATTGTGAAACCCCGTCTCTACTAAATATACAAAAATTAGCCAGGTATGGTGGCAGGCACCTGTAATCCCAGCTACTGGGGAGGCTGAGGCAGGAGAATCTCTTGAACCCGGGAAGCGGAGGTTGCAATGAGCTGAGATCACGCCACTGCACTCCAGTCTGGGCAACAAGAGTGAAACTCTGTCTCAAAAAAAGAAACAAACAAAACCACACCGTATGGGAGTTATGAGCCAGGAACCGTGAGTGAAAACTCGTGTGTGTGTGTGTGTGTGTGTGTGTGTGTGTGTGTGTGTGTGATATGCTGTCACAATGCTGATCTGCCTTAAGTAAATTTAGCATGAGCACAAAGTCTTTTGAGCTCAATGATTGAATTAAACAAATTGAAAAGCCAATAATCTAGTTTTCAATTTTCAAATAAATATTGTAGTGCCATAGTATATGGAAAAGACAAGTCTTCATTTTTATATTAAAGGTTAGTTTTGCTTCATCTTAGATTTAGAGTCAAATTCAACTTCTTTGGTTTGGTATTAGGAATAGTGACTTCCATTCTGGTTTCACTCACCTCTTATCTCCAACACAGACACAGACACAGACACACACACACACGCGTGCGCGCACATACAGGCACACGTTAGAGTCAGTTAGTGTGTCTGACGGGTGTGTTTGAGAACAGTAGCTGAAAGTTCTTTTCGTGGCCTTTGTGGTCAACTATTTGCTGAATCACACGCTTCCCAGCACATCCCCCTGGCAATTTATCATAATCAGCCTAGGAGCTCAGTCACGAGCTGCCATGTAAGCTGCTTGGCAAATGCAACTTGCTTCTGGAATTACATTAACTGGGTCCCTTCTTTCTGCCCTGCCCCAAGTCAGTCTTGTCCTTCTTTTAAAAGAATTGAGGGTTTAAAGTAAAATCTCTTTTCTAAATGCCCTGGCTTATCCCTGGTTATTTGAAGAAATTCTCTCTCTCTCTCTCTCTTTCTCTCTCTCCTTTTTGAGAGAGTCTTGCACTGTCTCCTGCACTGGAGTGTGGTGGTCCCATCTTGGCTCACTGCAACCTCCGCCTCCTGATTCAAGCAATTCTCCTACCTAGCTGGGATTACAGGCACCCGCCACCATGCCCCGCTAATTTTTTGTATTTTTTTTGAGACGGAGTTTCGCTCTTGTTACCCAGGCTGGAGTGCAATGGCACGATCTCGGCTCACCTCAACATCCGCCTCCTGGGTTCAAGCAATTCTCCTGCCTCAGCCTCCTGAGTAGCTGGGACTACAGGCATGCGCCACCATGCCCAGCTAATGTTTGTATTTTTGGTAGAGACGGGGTTTCACCATGTTGACCAGGATGGTCTCGATCTCTTGACCTATTGATTCACCCGCCTCAGCCTCCCAAAGTGCTGGGATTACAGACGTGAGCCACCATGCCCAGCTGGAAATTTCTCTCTTTATGAACACAGCCTCACTTAAGTAAAAGCACTTGACGCCACAATGTAGCCATCACTTTCTAACAAGTAAGCATATGGGAAAGCTTGAAGCCATTGACACTTTCTCCTGCAAGCACAGGCACGGAGTCAACAGAGCAGTTGCTGTTGAAAAGAGAATCAAGATACCAAAATACAGTTCTTCTAACACATTAAAAACTGCAGAGATCAGCTTCGTATACTGTGGAGAATTTATTTTGAGGCCAGGGAGGGCATTCTCTCTGAATTCTCAGATGCTTCCGAAAGGTGCCTAAAAGAAGTCACTAGGCTGGGCGCGGGGGCTCATGCCTGTAATCCCGACACTTTGGGAGGTTGAGTTGAGTGGATCGATCACCTCCAAGAGTTTGAGACCATGGAAAATTAGCCGGGCGTGGTGGCGCACACCTGTAGTCCCAGCTGCTCAGGAGGCTGAGGCAGGAGAATCGCTTGAACCTGGGTGGCGGAGGTTGCAATGAGCTGAGATCGCGCCACTGCATTCCAGCCTGGGCAACAGAGTGAGACTCCATCTCAAGGAAAAAAAAAAAAAAAAAGTAACTAGACTTTTAGAGGCAGCAGAGTGAAGTGTGCATGGGGTTGGGGGGGAGAGAGAGTTTTTTTTTTTTTTTTTGAGACAGAGTTTTGCTCTTGTTGCCCAGGCTGGAGGAGTGCAGTGGCTCGATCTCTGCTCACTGCAACCTCCGCCTTCTGGGTTCAAGCGATTCCCTTGCCTCAGCCTCCTGAGTAGCTGGGACTACAGGCATATGTCACCATGCTTGGCTAATTTTTTGTATTTTAATAGAGATGGGGTTTCAACATGTTGGTCAGGATCTCCTGACCTCGTGATCCACCCGCCTCGGCCTCCCAAAGTGCTGGGATTACAGGCCTGAGTCACCGAGCCCGGCCTGAGATTTTTTTTAATGTTCTTTTTCACCCACATTCTCTGAGGAATGTGATGTCCCATCTGTTGCTTTACAGGGTTGGAGACTTTTGGCCTCAGCCTGTGTGAAAGGCGGCAGCTAGACGTGCAGTGGTGGACGGGGTTTATATTAAGGAAATATAATTTTCATTAACACTTCAGTGTTGCTACTGACATCGATGGTAATACTTGGTAGGAAAAGGAAGAAGACTCTGTCTCAAAATGTGTTTTCATGGATTCTCCCTGGAGTCAGAAGTATCTCTTCTTCTCTCTTTTCCTGTAGAGTGGCTCACTGCTTTTCCTGGGGCGTTCTGGCCAGCATCCATGGAACTGGGAATGGTTTTGGGGACTTTTGCAGTTTGCATGCATTGACTTTTGCCTCTCAGCTGGGTGTAGTGGGAAAGAGCTTAATGTATTTTATGAAGCCACATGCAGACGTCGGCACCGCCCGTGGCTGCAGGCTTTGCTTATGGCCTTCTTTCAAGGAGTACCTGGGGCTTTCTGGCTTCTTATTTATATTTGTGTCTGCAGGGTGCGACACCAGAGGATTTCAGCAACCTCCCACCTGAACAAAGGAGGAAAAAGCTGCAGCAGAAAGTCGATGAGTTAAATAAAGAAATTCAAAAGGAGATGGATCAAAGGTATAGTGCATCCTTATGACTTATTAAGAAATTCAAATTCAAATTTGAGCCAGACACAGTGGCTCAAACCTGTAATTTGGTAGGCTGAGGTGGGTGGATCACCTTAGGTCAGGAGTTCGAGACCAGTCTAGTCAATGTGACAAAACCTCATCTCTACTTAAAATATAAAAACTAGCCGTGTGGTGATACATGCCTTTAATCCCAGTTACTCGGGAGGCTGAGGCAGGAGAATCACTTGAACCTGGGACACAGAGGTTGCAGTGAGCCGAGATCGCGCCAGAGCACTCCAGCCTGCACGGCAGGCGAGACTCTGTCTCAAAAAAATAAAAATAAAAAATAATTAAATTTTAAATTTAAAAATAAAATTCAAGTTCAAGGTGGGCGTGGTGGCTCACGCCTGTAATCCCACCACTTTGGGAGGCTGAGGCCGGAGGATCGCTTGAGCCTGGGAGTTCAAGACCAGCCCAGGCAACATAGCAAAACCCCTAAAAAAAGAAAAAGACTAGCCAGGCATGATGGTGTGCACCTGTAGTCCCAGCTATTTGGGAGACTGAAGTGGGAGGATCACCTGAGCCCAGGAGGCCCTGGCTGCCATGAGCCATGAGCCATGATCATCTCACTGCATTCCAGCCTGGGCAGCAGAATGAGACCCTGTCTAAAAAAAAAAAAAGAAGAGAGAGACCAGCCTGGGCAACATAGTGAGACCCTATCTCTACAAAAATAAACAAAAGTAGCTGGGCGTGATGGGGTGTACCTGGGAGGCTGAGGTGGGAAGGATTGCTTTAGCCTGGGAGGTGGAGGCTGCAGTGGGCTATTTGCTTAAGAATCAAAACCCTCATTCCCTATGACTCATGGGAAAAAAGGAAAAGAATCAAAACCCATTTGCCATAAAGCAGAGATATGCCACGAGGAGGAGGGCTTCTGTGAAGGGAAGGTGCATTCATCAAAACAGCTGTAGGAAAAGCAAATCAAACAACACACACACACACACACACACACACACACACCCTCACTACTAGGATCAAGAGCTACGGATCTATCTCAAGAAGAATGCCACTGCATTCCAGCCTGGGCAATGGAGCAAGACCTTGTCTCCAAGATAAAAGCACAAAGTAGGATGAAAGATATTAAATAGCAAGCACTCCAGATACCCTGGGGTCAGATCTGGCTCTGCACTTAACTACTGCTGATATGGCAATGTGCATAACACGCTTCAAACAGTGCTTGCCACATAAGTGCCTGGGAAACAAAATGAATCAATATGGCCAGGCACTGTGGCTCACACCTGGAATCCCAGCTCTTAGGGAGGCAGAGGCAGGAGAACAGCTTGAGCCCAGGAGTTTGAGAGCTTCCTGGGTAATATAGCAAGACCCTGTTCTCCACAAAAAGGAAAAAAACAAAAAGACCAAAAAAGAAAAAAAAAAAAAGAATCAGTATGTTAAAGGTAAACAAACTATGTGTTTCAATTAAAAGATAGAGATTCTCAGACTGGACCAAAAAAAAAAAACCCAACACATAAAGCAATGTATGGGATCTACAAGACACATCTAACTCACAAGATCTAGAAATCTGAAAGTAAAAAAAAGGGAAGAGAAGCTATACCATGCAGGTGCCAATCAAAATGAATGAAACTGGTGTGACAAGGCTGGATTTTGGGCTGAAGAAAAAGAAGAAGAAAAAAAAAATACGTGCTTGAGTCGGGCGTGGTGGCTCATGCCTGTAATCCAAGCACTTTGGAGGTCAAGGCGAGCGGATCACCTGAGGTCGGGAGTTCAAGACCAGCCTGACCAACATGGTGAAACCCCATCATAAAAAAAAAATTAAAATAAAAAACGTGCTCAAAGTTATTATAGAAGACTTAACTAATACAGTTAGTAACATTGACCTGATACATAAACATCTAACAATTGTAGGGCATACTCTGTATTAGTCTGTTGTCATGTTGCTAATAAAGACAGCCAAGACTTTCATGGTCTCCTAATTCCACATGGCTGGGGAGGCCTCACAATCGTGGCAGAAGGTAAAGGAGGAACAAAGGCACATCTTACATGGTGGCAGGCAAGAGAGCATGTGCAGGGAAACTGCCCTTTATAAAACCATCAGATCTCATAAGACTTACTCACTATCACGGGAACAGCACAGGAAAAACCTGCCCCTATAATTCAGTTACCTCCCACTGGGTCCCTCCCATGACACATGGGGATTATGGGAGCTACAATTCAACATGAGGTTTGGGTGGGGACACAGCCAAACCATATCAATATTCTTTTCAAGCCTACGTAAGAACATTTTCAAAAGTTGAGTATATCTTGGTTTCATAAAGCAAATCTCAACAAACATCAAAGGATATGTATCATTCAAAGGATATATATCATTCAGAGTGATATATATCACTCTGCAATTAAGCTGGATACCAATAAGAAATAGTAAGAAATTAAGAAATATGCCTTTAAATAAGCCACAAACCAAACAAGAAATAATAGTAGATATTAGAAAGTATATGAAATAGAACTGAACTTTAACATACATTCTATATATAGTTTGTAGGATGTCATTAAAGCCATCCTTATAAAGAGATTTATTGCTCCGAATGCATATTAAAAGCAGACAGGTAAAAATAAGTGAGCCTTAGCTCACTTAGATCCTCACTTAGGATCTCTCTCAAGAAGTCAGAAAAAGAACAGCAAATTAAGCCCAAAGGAAGTAGAAGAGGCTGGGCATGGTGGCTCCTGACTATAATCCCAGCACTTTGGGAGGCTGAGAAGGATGGATCACCTGAGGTCGAGGGTTCAAGACCAGCCTGGCCAACATGGCGAAACCCTGTCTCTACTAAAAATACAAAAACTAGCTGGGCACAATGGCAGGTGCCTGGAGTCCCAGCTACTCGAGAGGCTGAGGCAGGAGAATCGCTTGAGCCCAAGAAGCAGAGGTTGCAGTGAGCCAAGATCACGCCACTGCACTTCAGCCTGGGCGACAGAGTGAGACCCTGTGTCAAAAATAATAAAAAAATAAATAAAATACTAAAATAAAATATATAATTCAACAGATCTAAAAGTTGGTTCCTTAAAAAGATAAATAAAGTAGATAAACTTGTGGAGAGATTGGTCAGGAACGACTGAGAGGATAGTAAAATAAAAGATGATAGATATAGACAACTCTGTGGAGGAATACTGCTGAGAAATAGCGAGGTAGCTGGAGGTGTGGGCCATAAAGTCAAGAGAGGGGTTTCAGAAAGGAGACCAGGTGCGGTGGCTCACGCCTGTAATCCCAGCACTTTGGGAGGCTGAGATGGGCTGATCACCTGAGGTCAGGAGTTCGAGACCAGCCTGACCAACGTGGAGAAACCCCGTCTCTACGAAAAATACAAAATTAGCTAGGCATGGTGGCACATGCCTGTAATCCCAGCTACTCGGGAGGCTGAGGCAGGAGAATCACTTGAACTCAGGAAGCGGAGGCCGCAGTGAGCCAAGATCATACCACTGCACCCCACCGGGGGCAGCAAGAGTGACACTCCACCTCAAAAAAAAAAAAAAAATAAAGGACATCATAAGGGTAGACACCATTTCACTTGGTTTGTAATGTTTATTATTTGTTAAATATATTTGTTAAATAAATGTTTATGTAAACATTTTTAAGGACATTTAACATTTACAACTGTATTTAAAAATTATTTATAAACATTATTTTTAAATGTTTATTTAAATATTTACTTATTTGACAAATACTTACTGCGCATCTATTATGTGCCGAGGATGGTCCTGACACTTGGGATACATCAGGTGAACCACGGAACTTGAGATCATGGAGCTTCCTCCAAGAGCTTCCATTCTAACAGCAGGAGACAGACAGTGAACAATAAGCCTAATAATAATGAATGATGCATGCTGTGGGAAAGAAGGCAGGCAGGAAATGAGGAAGACAGGAAGGAAGAGAGGAAAGAAACTAGATAAAGCGGCTGGGAGTCCAAGTGGGTCTCAGGCTCAAAGGCGGAGGGTGGTGAGGACTTGTGGAAGCTCTCTTGCTATTTGTGTGCTTTGTTAAACTATTTCCCATGACTCAGAATGTATCTTTAGGTTCGTCTGTTGGCTTCGGATTGTATCGTATGACCTGGT